CAACATTATGTAACCCAACACCAGTAACCATGGTGAGAGGCAGTCTGGTTCAGTCAGGTCAGAGGTCATTGTTTGGAGAAGAAGAAGAGGAAACGTAGCAAAAACAATGTTTTCCTTCGGTAATCATAATGATCTGTCATTTTTGGGCAAGTCTGGTTGATTCTTTTACATGTATGTACATGTACATCTGCACTTTCTCCAGGATTCCTAGTTTTATTGTTATACCGGTACGTGTCTTTATACTGATTTTGTGTTGTACAGGAGCTGCAGCTCAAGAGGTCATCAAACTGGTGACCAAACAGTTTGTTCCCTTCAACAACACCTACATCTACAATGCCATGAACTCGTCCTCAGCCACATACAATCTCTGATGTGCAAGTCTCTTCAAGCAGTTACTTCTACCTTGTGAAAAAAAGAATCGAGATTTGCGAGAAAAATCCTTTATGGATTCTAGGTTCTGTGGAATTGTACCGTAGAAATGTTTTGGAACTGAAAAATACCAGCGTCAAGAAATTCACGTAGACATGATTATCAACTTCATGTATACTATTGTAATGTATTACAAGTGCTAGTAACCTTCATATTACTATATGTCATGCAGTTGTAATAGAAAACTTTTGAAGTTTCAAAAACTCTGTTATCCCAAGTGAGGTGTATGTAGAAGACTTGTGCATGTTGGTACAAATAAAAAGATAACCTTGTTGTATTTGACTTTGAAGCATTACCACCTAGCTACTTGTTAAGCACCAGTTGCTTCACCAAGCATATCAAGCTGAAATGGCCACTCCCATGCATGATCACAGTACGACTTCCAGTCTTGTTTCAGGCAAAGACTTCACAATACAGGGGATAAACACACACACCGGTTTATTATCTACATGTACTTTGTTCAAGATGTTGAATACTAGTATTTCTATTCCCTTTTTCATCAGCATGTGTCAGATTCATGCCAACAGCCAAGCACCAATGTTTGTAATGGTAACATTCTAAGAGGCTGTTGACTAAGTTATCTCTGGGTACCTTTTAGTGTCTTAACAAAGCTGCAAGAATCAACAGTATTTGGTCATGACTCATACAATTTCTATCTAAAGATTACTCTGACCATTACAGTGGGGTAAAAAAACCTTGTCCTTTCTAATAACGAAATTAGTACACACACAAAGGTAACCATTTCACACAGCCAATGGTTTATTCAGTGATCACATACAAGATGGTTCTTTGGACACATCAGTTCTTTAAAATACACATGTAACTAGGTACTTGTCAATCTGTGTAATGACTTGCATATGGGCAATAATAAACTACACTCAGTATGACTCGCCTTCAACTTGGATTCACAACCTTAAAAGTTGCCATATGTTTTCGTCAACAGTTTACTGTGGGATGATTAATGTATTTCTGACTTTTTCTGTACATGTATCAAACTTGAGTTGAACTTCTATTAACCTACAATAAGTGTTTCTTCATCTGGGAACACGTATTCTGGGACTTCGAGATTGTATGGGGCGGGGCCTTTCCTTAGCCTTCCTGATGCGTCGTAGTGTGAGCCGTGGCAGGGGCAGTAGTAGCCTCCGTAGTCGCCAGCGTTGGCGATCGGGACGCAGCCCAGATGTGTGCACACGCCGATCAGAACCAGCCACTCCGGCTTCTGTACCCGGATGTCGTCCGGCTCGGGATCTCTCAGGGTGGTGTGATCTACCGCCCGGACCTCGTTGATTTCTTCATCTGTGCGATGGCGGACGAAGAGGGGCTTCCCGCGCCACTTGATGGTCACGCTCTTCCCCTCCGGGATTTCGGACAGCTTCACCTCGATCTTGGCCATGGCCAGCACGTCGGCTGATGCGCTCATGGTGGTGACAAGATCCTGTACGACGTTCTTGGCAGCGTAGGCGCAGGTGACTGCAGTGCCGCCCACCAGCATGTAGGAGAAGGCCTTACGGGAGACATCGCTGCTGACGGAAGGCTTGTTGGGATCCTGCACCTCACGACGGCGGTAGTCGGTGAAGTCTGGCACTGTGATGTCACTGTGGGCAAACCGCACTTGGCTTGGCCCTGAGGAAAAAAAGGACCATTGAGTGAGTTTAGAAAAAAAGGATATCATAATTTAAAGCCAATGATGAGGTGAGCAACGGTTTGATATTGTTGAATGAAAGTATAAATTTATTATTGAAGCTTTCATGCTAATATTTTAAGGTCTGTCAAAGGCATGGGCTAGGCATGGTGGGAGTAACGTTCTTTGGCTCAGGGCTTTGTTTGGTCAAAGATACCGTAACTTTCATGTATCGCATTAATTTGGGGACACATCTGATATACTGACAGCGTTATACTATATTTCGAGTGCAGGTTGTATAACTAAGTACAAGCCGGGTCAAATATGGTTTGGGGGGGGGGGCAGTGTGAGATGCTCAGCAGCTTTCCTTGAAGATGTATATTTATTTACATACCGCGAGTGGCTTGATTTGAAAACATTAGACGCTCTGCCTACTTTACAGATTATTCCAGTTTTACATCAGGACAAAAGACCGTATATATGTGATCATGAATGTACTTACCGTGTACACCAGAGGTCACTCGTAACGCACTGCGCGGTAGCGTCTTGGACAAGGTGTAACTCGTCTGGGGCTCGACGGCTGGCGGTACCAGCACCGAGTCCGCCTTCACGGCGACCGCTGGGATGAGAGGCCGTAGCTGAGACGCCACACACTGCGATGTGGCGGTCAGGTACGGCGCCAGACCGGCGCTGCGTACGACACTGCTCCACATAGTCTACTACCGGCGAGGTCGTCAAAATGGTGGTTACAAGAGACCTACGTCACGAGTTAGTGCGCAGGAGCACTTACGTATGAAATTGTCGTAAAATCTCACCAGAACTGTCGTAAACTATGCAGCCGTAAAACAGGTGAAGTGCAGTGAGTACGTGGATCAAAAGCGACTCTTAGCAGTTTGGCGCAGGACTGCAGCAATACGTTGGCTCAGTTTTATCGCTGCTTTTGATCCATGGCGCTTTTGAACCATTTTCAGAACTATAGAAGCAGGGTTTCTTTCTGGATGAAAGTCAAGTGATAAGGCAGTCGATTGATATTCTTCAAGCCTCATTGTTCCTATTACTGCAGTGATGTTTTATCGCCGTTGCAAATTTCCGTCTCGTAAACGGTCGTCGCCTTTCCGAACGGTCGTCGCCCTTTCTCAGAGCCGTCGTCGCCTTTATGAACGGTCGTCGCCTTTATGAACGGTCGTCGCATTTCCGAACGGTCGTCGCCTTTTCTCAGAACGGTCGTCGCCTTTTCTCAGAGCGGCGACGGCCGTTCATAAAGGCGACGACCGTTCTGAGAAAAGGCGAGGACCGTACGTTCGGAGAGCTAGAGGCGACGACCGTTCATAAAGGCGACGACCACTCTGAGAAAAGGCGACGACCGTTTTGAGAAAAGGCGACGACCGTTCGGAAAGGCGACGACCGTTCGGAAAGGCGACGACCGTTTACGAGACGGAAATCTGCATTGCCGTTATGGGGCGCTTTTGATCCATGGCGATTTTAACGTGTCAGAACTTTAGAAGCAGTGTTTCCTTCTGAATAGAAACTTTTAAGGTAAGTGATAAGACAGCCGTTTGATTATTCTTCAAACCTCATTGATTTAAATAGAGAAATTTAATGCACTAAATTAAGGAAAATGAAATATTGTAGCTTTTTTAAAGAAATGGATGGAAGGGGAAGGTGCCATATGGAAGGTGTCAGCTTACTGACTAAGAAGGCGAGAAAAACAAAATTTACCCACTAGTTAATCGATCCAAAGTTTAAACGTTTCTCAACCATTCAACGTTGTAAGCCTGAGGTATTGCAGGGGGTATCAAACTGAGAAACACTCGAGAGGATATTTCGTTCAAAGCATAACAGCAAACTGCAATTCAGGACTGTGTAAAGTAAAGGTGTATTGTGTTAAAACCCGTTAAACCAACTGTAATGCTGTCATCTATTAGCCTGGTTACCAAACCTACTATAGCTCCCGAGTCCTACATCCTCTCCGCAAATCTATTGAAATGAAAGATTGAAGGAATATTTTTGAGGTCGAATGATATACCAGTATTTCATTATTTGTAAGGCAAATAATAATGATAATAATGTTGGTCTATTACGTTATAAAGCTTAGCAAAGAAATGCAAAGTTATGACGATTCGTTAACACACCGGTGTCTAATCTAAGTTGATTATCTAAGGCCAAACCCATTTAATTTCTTGGTTAACGGATTCGCCCGCTTAATTTTTTCTGATTTGCAAATAAAAATAAAAATTCAGAATCAACAGCAAAATGCTCATATTTTGCCCTGAACAGTCCTTTTCATCCTAGTTGTTACAGTTATCCCATCTTTCAATGCAATGGCATCATTAAAAGTTCAAAATTCATTGTTTAAATTTTGAACCAGCGCAGCCTGGCGTGTTGACTTCATAATAGGATGCCTAGGCCTGTTTTTATTTTTTATTTTTTCGCCCGCCCGCTCCATTATTTTTCTAGAAAAATCCGTTAACCAAGAAATTGAATTGGTGTGGCCTAATTGAGAATATGCAAATTATTATGATCTCTTGTCAGGTGGTAAGTCCACGCGGCAGCAAGATGGCGAGGAGTGTGCATGGCAGGGAAAGAGCTCCGGTAGAATTCGTCTGGGAAGACGAGATACGTCCGTTTTAGGTGGTGAGTCGCAATTAACGTTATCTTTGTCCTTTATATAGTAAGTCGTTACTATTGACTTGTAATGAAGTGAAGCTAAAACACAGAGTAGCGTGAATTATTTGTGGCGACCTGGATCCCTGGGTTCAAACTTGCACTTAGTAAAGCGGGCCGTGAGGACGCTTTCGTAGAGCCGCGTTTTTCAAAGCCCTTTTTTGTTTATTCACTGTCTTATTTTATCAATATGAGCTGCGCTTGAATGTTGTTGAACTGATGTTTGAAATGCATGTCATGTATTGTTGGCAACTATAAAGTATAATATTATGAAATATTATGTCAAAATGAGTGTTAACTTGTCATATTGTTTTGAAATGATATATGATGTATAATGTGATAATGTGAGTAAGTAAGTGAGTAAGTAAGTAAGTGAGTGAGTGAGTAAGTAAGTACTAAGTAAGTAAGTAAGTAAGTAAGTAAATAAGTAAGTCTCTCTTTCTCTCTCTATATATATACATATATGTATAGTTTGATGTATAATTTATACGTATACCTTTGCTTTGATATTCACTATCAAACAAAGCATAAATTTCCCCCAATCCAAAAGGCTTCAAAACTAATATAAACAAATGATGTGAATGTTGCAGTGTGCGATGATCTGTGAGTATTGTTATATTGAGCCTGTGATCTTTCTGAATGTGTTTTTTTTACACCCTAGGCTTGAGATGTTGTATAGCTGACACTGTGGGACCTGTCCACCTCCTGTGTGTGACAGTCCCTACTTCAGGAGGATGTGACTGTGTTTCTGAGAGACCTGTCTCCTATCCACAAGACAAGAGAACATCGGACTTGACTGTGAGTCTACTTTCGTTTATGAACTCTTTAAAAAAAAGGGTCTGCATGCTGCAATGCATAATCAGCAGTTTTGTTTTGCATAATATGAAGCTGGGTCGTTCTAAAAATTTCACCGTTATATTGTTGATCTACATAATAAAACGACCAGCCAGTAAGTGAATCAAATCGTAATACGGCCCGGTCATAGCTTTGCAGAATTTGCGCCTTGACATTTGCATAATTTGAAGTCGAACAACGTTGATTTGATGTCAAATATAATCTATCATATCACAGTGAACCAAACCTGAACAAAATGTAAATCGTGGTGGCTGCCTTACAGAATCTAGCCCGAAAAGCAATCAGGACCTCCCATGCAGTAGCCTCCTTCGCAGTCTTGTTGGGCGTGGGCGTAATTTTTTCTCTGAGCGACGCTAGTAATATGCGGCCGCGAGGGACGATTTGCTGCCGAGGGACTTTTGCCACGGAGAGAAGGTTTCGCGCTCCAACAGTTGGAAACCTTCTCTCCGTGGCAAAAGTCCCTCGGCAGCAAATCGTCCCTCGCGGCCGCATATTACTAGCGTCGCTCAGAGAAAAAATTACGCCCACGCCCAACAAGACTGCGAAGGAGGCTACCATGCAGACCCTTTTTAAGAAGTGATGATGAAGGATGTTGGAAAAGGGCATGTTTGCGATCCTCTGAATTTTCTGTTCTAAATGCCATTGTTGAAACTCAGCTAAGGCCCTCCCTGCTACATGTAATTTTGTTGTCATTTCTGAAAGAGTTCACATTCCTAAACTAATACCTAGTTTAAGGTTGTGACTAATATTTTATTGCAAATATGACGGAGGACACAGACATTTTCCAACTGAGGAGAGCACTTTTGATAATTATTGTAAGTTTTATTTTGTATACCAATGGGATATATTTTCAACAGCATTTGTGATCAAACTGTTTTCCCTGATATCCTCTTCATCATGATCCACATCCACCCTTTTAAAAACCATTTCTATTGTAATTATATAATGAAAATTCACAGTCCTTCATGTGAAGAAAAATTCTATATGGTGATAGGAAACAATCAATAAAGCAACAAGGCAAGTAAAATGGAAAAATGGAAAATTACTCTAAGATAACATGAAAAGACATTTCATAATGATTAATATGAATTCTAGCCGTAATGTTTACTGGTGAAGATACACAATTGTAGTGAGTTACGGAATCAGCAAAACAAAACTCTTTTCGCAATTAATAAACTGTGAAGTTGCTAAATTCTACTTTTAATGTAGTCAGTCACAGATAGTTTTGGTAGTTAACAAAACAGTAATGTAGATAGTTACAGTGAGGGATTGATAAAAGTCCAGTGACCAGCAGGTACGGCCTTGACAGTGGGTCAGGATCTCAGTCCTGGTCCCGATGGTCTCTGCAAAAGATTGAACATTAAAACTCTCAAGTGCCTTTTTGAGTTAAAAGCTGTGTCGTTCACATTGAATGACTATTCTGGGACCGTCCTTGTTGCACCAATCTGAGTTTTGCTGTGGTCATGTTCAGATTGTGCATTTATTAATCCTAAGTTTGAAGGGAATTGATCAATCTACCTAAGGTAAATAAATCGAAGTTGACAGTTTTACTTCCGCCTTTTTTAAGTGAATGACCCTTTCAACGTCCTGCAAAATTTTGGCCCTTGCGCAACTGGGCTATAATTCTGACCACTAAGTTGCACACGACCCTGTCGAGGTATATAATATAAAAAGTCAGTGGAAAGAGAAGGATGGGCTCTACCTTCCACTAGTACTAGCACTAGACTAATAATTGGTACAGTATAGAGAATTGTCCCTGTCCGTGGTACTGAAAATGTTAGCACTGAACATTTGTTTAAAAAGGCGGATCTGATGTAAAACTGGCCACTTCGATTTGTAAAACTTTAGATTGATGAATTCACTTCAAACTCAGGATTTGATAATAAGCACAATCTGGACATGACCACAGCAAAAAATTCAGAATTGTGTGGCAAAGACGGCCCCAGAGTTGCCATGTGGGGTCAGTCTTCACAGGTAAAAAGATATTGTAGATAGACTGTTGAGTGGCTCAGGTTTTATATAGTTGAGATTGTTATAGAAAAAGCCTCCTAATTGAAGGGGGCCTGCAAGCCCTATTTCCATAGAGCGTAATCGGCCATTTTAATTCTACGTAATGCGTTGTGGCCACTTGGAATTTATCGTAAAGCGTAATCGTGAAGTTTCCAAATTCAGCGTAGAGCGATGGGACCCCCCTTGCAGGGCCCCATTGAAATGTTGCCCACAATTAAGTTACAAAAGTTCAGGCAGTTAAACAGTTTTAATGTTT